TGAATAAGCTTTATATTGAACTGCATTTGCCTAGTTATAAATTTTGTTGACCTGGAACGAAACTACGGAAACTTTTAGTAAGAGGAGATCGAGGGCTTAATCTACTATACACTGCTTGTAGAGAACATGATATATCATATTTATATGATAAAGATTTAGATAACCGACATGAGCAATATATAAAAATTAATTGAGAAGGCTTGGGAAAGAGTTAAAGCGAAGGATAGCAATCTTAATGAGAAAACAAATGCTTGGTTATTTATAAATATAATAAAGCCAAAATCGAAATTCGGTATGGGGAACGCTTACAGTAAAACTAAAAAAGTGGGAGGAAAAACTGGTTATCAGCTCTTCAATCATGCCTTAAAAAGTGCTAAACAAAAAAGTGATAACTTAAAAGATGCCATAAAAATTTCACGAAAGGTTGTAAATAATATTTTCAGAGGAAAAAATGTATAATAAAAACACCACGTGTAATATCATTATCAAAATCTGGAGGATTTCTCCCATTAGCGCCTTTATTCGTAGCATTAGGAGCACTTGGAAGTCTATCTGGCGGTCCAGCAGGAATTATTAAAACAATCAATGCTATAAAAACTGGAAAGGAGCAGTTATTGGAGGCGAAACGTCATAATAATACAATGGAAGCTATTTCAATGGGAAAAGACCTATTCTTAAAGCCTTATAAAAAGGGATTCGGATTATATTTAAAACCACATCAAAAAAAAACCCTTAATAAAACTACGTAGAAGACCTCTTACTGATGTAGACTTGAAGAAGTATTCAATATTTATTCCAAATTTTAGACGGATATTCATGTGTGACACTTTACCACGTAAACCATTTAAGAGAGAATGTGGAATAATAAATTTGGATAGTTCAAATACTGGAAAACGATAATGAGATTGATTATTTCGATAGCTTTGGAAACTTATACTCCTAAACAATTAATAAAGTATTTAGGAAAAAAACACGGCCGCTGTGGTGTAGTGGTAAGTAGTGCCCGCTTAGAAATATAGAAAAAGGTTTTTTCTTAACAGCGGTCGTCCCTCGGCAGGCAATGGCAAACCTCCGAGTGTATTTCTGCCATGAAAAACAGCTTCTCATAAAAATACAATCGCCGTTCGGAGTCGGCGTAAAACGGTAGGTCCCTCCGCCTTGTGTGACAACATCAAGGCGCACGTCACAAGTCGGAGGAGGAGCTCGGCCAAACACTAACATATGTGTAAGCGCTAATCTATTATTATTATTATTATTACGAAAAAACATTAAATATAACTAATAATAAACAGCAAAGCTATAATTCATATAACTGCGGACACTTATGTTTAAAATTCTTATTATCAAAAATAATTAAGTAATTACAATACTTTCGTTTATTTCAAATTAAATTTCATTTGTTCTCATCATCGGCATCATCAGACCTTTCCAGTCATATATATATATATTACATATTAAATACTTAAGAATTACCTATGTGAGCATTCTTAATACACTTTTATAGCGGTGGAGCATCTGTATTTCTAACGTATAATTTCTAACGCATATTTCTAACTGTAGAGCATATATATATATATATATATATATATATGTTTACGAATTTCTATCGTATATAAACATACTTAGTACGAATTTCTGACGTTGGAGCTATACTATAATCAACAGCAAAGCTATAATTCATATAACTGCGGACATTTATGTTTATACCCTAGCGCACTTGTGCACAAGGGTATATTAATTTTGTTCACGTAACGGTTGTTTGTAACAGCCAAAACGAATCGAGATAGATATAGACAAATGTATACATAAATGCTCAGAATGAATAGAGAAATGGATTAAGCCATGTCTGTCTGTCCGTCCGTCTGTTCGTCTGTCCGTCTGTCCGTCCGTCCGTGTACACGATAACTCGAGCAACAATTGAGATATCTCAACGAAATTTGGTATGTAGGTTTCCGTTCATCCAAGGTAGGTTGGTATTGAAAATGGGCGAAATCGGACTGTAACCACGCCCACTTCCCATATAACGGTAATTTCCAGAAGTACGAAAACTGCGATATTTTAGTAACTACTGAAGATAATTCACTCAAAATTGATATTTGCAATAATTTTCAGACGAAAAATAAGAATATTATAAATTTTTGGAAAATGGGCGTAGCCACGCCCACTTATGGTTACATGTGTATATCTTGGTAACCGGTGCACCAATTTCTTCCAAACTTGGCACAGTTGTTGGCCTTGATACACCAAACTAAATGGCCGAAGATTTAAAAAATCGGACAATAACCACGCCCACATCCCATATAACGGTAATTATCGGAAATACGAAAACTGCGATATTTTAGTAACTACTGAAAATTATTCACTCAAGATTGATACTTACAACAATTTTTAGACGAAAACTAACAATATTATAAATGTTTGAAAAATGGGCGTAGCCACGCCCACTTATGGTTACATGTGTATATCTTGGTAACCGCTGCACCAATTTCTTCCAAACTTGGCACAGTTGTTGGCCTTGGTACAGCATAAAAAATCGGACAATAACCACGTCCACATCCCTTATAACGGTAATTTAGAGAAATACAAAATTTTCGATAAATCAGTAAATATTAAAGCTAATTTATTCAAAATTGATGCTTGCAAAAATTCTTTACCAAGAAATACGTTTATGGTAAAATTTTGGAAAATGGGCGTGGCACCGCCCACTTATGATCACATATATGTATATCGGTAACCGTTCTACCAATTTGTACCAAACTCGGTATTTTTATTGTGCTTGCCACATAAAAGCAAAACGTTGAAATTATTGAAATCGGATTAAAATTACGGCCGCTTTTCATATAACGGTAAATTTCAGAAATGCTTGAAACTGCAATATTTCGAAATTTAAGGACGTTAATTTACGCTTACCATCTAGCGGTAGCTTTCGGAAAGGTGAAAAAACATATATTTAATACTTGCGCCGGGTATTTAATGTTCGGCTCCACCCGAACTTAGACATTCTTACTTGTTAAAATTCTTATTATCAAAAATAAATAAGTAATTATAAAGCTTTCTTTTATTTAAAATTAAATTTTATTAGTTAACATCAACACAAAAGACCTTTCCATTCATATATATATATATATATATATTAAATACTTGATAATTAACTATGTGAACATTATTAACCCACGCACATATATACGTTTGTATATGGATGAGTGTATGTGAATACGTATGTATATATGTATACGAACACAATTTACGAAATTCCGACATATAAACCACCTGTATCGGATTTCCATCAGCGGTACACCCTGTGATCTGTTCTGGTTCTGGACTCGGATTTGTCATCAGCGACATCTTGCGGCTTTTATCTGGGTCCTGAACTTGGATTTCGATCAGCGACATCTTTTGGCGGATCAGCAAAGCTTGCGGCGTAGCACCAGCAAACCTTATAGCGGTTCTGGAACCGGAGCAGCAGCAAACCTTATAGGTTCCAGAACCGCTATATCTATACTACTGACTACTTAAACACAGAAGATGGATATGATCTCATTCAGTGTTGCCATTTTAGCCGTTTTCCGGCTAGATTTAGCCGGTTGCGATAGCAAACAGCCGGAGAAATTTCGATTTAGCCGGCAGCCGATTTGTTAGCCGTTTTGCAGAAAAAAATTAGCCGTTTTTAGCCGATTTTGCTATTTGCATTGTTTTCTTAAATTACAAATATATATATATGTTTCCATTTTTGGCTAAGCGACCCAAAATCTGTTAGAGATGGCCAGTAGCCTTATCGTGGAGAAAATTTTCATGTCAGGCAGGGTTGAATGAAATTGGGCCGATTTCGCTTATTTTTATTTTAAACGAAGAAGGGATTTTCTTCATAAAATGTTTGTTATAAATGTCCTAATTTTAAGTGTGAAGTCTTATTCGCAATCTTAGAAAATAAGAAATTGTTTCACTGTTAAGACACTTAAGATGCGTTTGTGTTTGGATATAGCGCGAACAAACAGAATAAATATTACATGTAGATATTGTGTTCCTAGATAGTCAATTCTGCCTAAATTACAAAACATCATTTTTGCCCACTCCCAAAGGTTTAAGGTAAGGGAAAAATTGCATTTTCAAGCACTATGTACACATATGTATTTTTTTAAACAAACTTTTTTGCTGAGAATTTATTTAAATTCCAAAAACC